CTAATTTTTTAAGTTGTTTAGTTTATATTGTTTTGTTACTTTACTTCTTTTGGCTATACGGATAATAGGAGGAAGATTTATTCTTTAAGTTGTTTAGGGTAATATTGTTTTGTTACTTTACTTGCTTTTGGCTATATTTCATACGGCATCTTTAACATTTGTTTTGTATTTCAAAATTCTCTTTATTTTTAAGAAAAAAGGGACATATTAAAAGAAGAGGAAAACTGTTAATTTGGACTCGAGAAAATAGGAAGAGGTATATTTAACCGATGAAAACAAGAGGAGAAGAAGAGGAAAAGTGTTAAAATCTCCCCAAAGTCAAATTTGGGCGTATTAATCGCGGTCATGTCTATTTTAGAACCTAATTTCATTGAACTGAGTCTGGTCTTATCCATCATGTCCCAAGAATCATCAAAGTTATTTAATTTATACGAAGGCTACCTTTGTTATTTGAAATCATATAAAATACTACAAAATCTTTCATACGGCGATGATTCAAAACATATCGACCTTTGACATAAAAATTAATTTTCTTTCGTTTCGAGTTGAAAGTCCTAGATCGATGAAATCGTAGCAATGGTTAAATAAGCACGAAAAATATAAGATGGTACAGAACTTCATGAGAAGGAGAAGTGTCGCGTGAAAACTAAAACATGCACTACAAAAAACCAAGCACCCCACAATTAACTCGGTAATTTTCACAAAAACAAAATCGAACTAAAACTTTATTTATTTATGCAACGTTACATACGAACCAAATTTTTTCTAGAGCTGAACTGTATCGAACCGTAGTTTTATCCAGTGTGTTTACGGTTAAGGCTCCCCCTCTTAGGGTTTAACTCCTTTTAATTTGCTCAAAATTTATTTACTTTAAATGTTTTACGTATATTTATAATTGTTTAACTTTATATATTAACGTTTAGAAATTTTTAATTTGCTAAAAATATAACTGGTATACCTATAAATTCAAAAGACAATATAAGTTATTAGTATTCGATCATAATAATTTATCTTATTGTTGTAGTTATCATACCATGATTGTTGTAGTAGTTCTTACAAAAAAAAAATCGAGTTAAAACCTTCTTTATTTCTACAATATTACATACGAACCAAATTTTTCCTATAGCCAAACTGAATCGAACCGTAGTTTTATTTAGTGCATGAGGGTTAAGACTCCTCTAGGGTTAAGACTTCTCCTCTTAAGGTTTTAACTCTTTTTAATTTGCTACAAACAGTTTTTTTTTTATTGTTTAGAATGTTTTAATTTGGTAAAAATAAAAACGGTATATCTATAAATAAAAAAAAATTATATAGTTTAAAACGAGTATTCGATCATTATATTTTCTTATATAAATCTATAAACATTATTTTAGTTCTATGTGCTTATCATCATCATGAACGGAATTTTACACATTTCTTTTATGAAATTTTAATGTTTATTTTTTATTAGTTTTTTGTTGACAATTGTGTATACAAAATATATTATAATTCTCATTTTAATGCCCACGCTGGAATACTACTTTCAAAAATAAGTAGCCTAAAATATTACTTTAATTTCTCGAGAACATACTGTTTGATTTTTTGGAATCCGAGTATCTAGGCGAGCATGTAAATAAAAAGAAACACATGGTTTCATATGAACATTACTTTTAAAATACGCGATCCTCATGAAATCAGTAAAAACAGGTAGAAGCTATCAAGAAAATCTGAGAGTATTTTGCACAACTAAGAAGAATAGTAAAGGATCACGGTAAGTTTTCAAAAACCAAAGATCATATCTTAAAACTGCGATTGCACTTTCAATTTGGTTTTTGGTTACATTGTGGGACGAGTTTGGCATTTTGATCAAATGCTTTTGGGTGAGGTTTAAAGAAGAAAGTAGCAGCTTATGGTGACTACTACTATATATTTCACCTTTAAAATCAATTTTCTGTCCAGTAGTAGCCTAATTTAGGCTTTAGAGCCTTTTCGAAAAACCCCTTATCATCATTTCGAAGATATTCCTAGCGATATTGCATATGCAGGGTGCAACGCATATCCAAATGATCATCGTGGCTATCTCACCAAAGACGATAACTTAGACACGAGCGTCTCTCATTTTCCATGAACACAAAATCCCTTGTGATGAATATAAATAGTTAATTTACAATTTTATAATATTGTTTGTTGTTACACATTTCCCGCTCAATGCGCGGGTACCTGCCTAGTTCTTTCTAATAACAATAGAGGCTTGCTCCGGTACAAGAAACAACATTCACCAAACCCTAATTATAATGATGCCAAAAATAGTAAATTGCAAGGAAATCTGTTTGAGATGTACTTTTCGTAACACCAAAGGATTCAGAACCCTAATAAAATCTCTCGTGTAATATCTCTTATTCAATTTTGCTTCGGTTCTCTGCTTATTCTTCATCACATTCCACTGTTTTCTTGTGTGATTTGTTTATTGGTTCCATGAGAGGAAACAGAGTAAGAAATCTTGACCAAGCTATTCCGCTTTAAATAAATGCCCTAAACTTACATAATTGATAGACATTAGTGACAGTGTGTGAGATCAAGGATAAAGTGACAATTGGTAAAAAAATAATTTCGTAATCATTATTTTGATTGGTAAGAAGTAAGCACTTGATGGAGGCAAAACTGAAAAACTTTATGTGGACAATAGAAAGTAGGGCTCATCACAAAATGAATAGAGTCATTTTTGCCTCTTAAAGCATCAGAGTTGAGTGGTGTTGTGATTAGGTCTCAAGCTTGGCCATCTTTTAGATATTATAGGTCCGATCATGCTGTCTTTAAGACTCATTCTGGAATAAGAAAATAGAGACTAAAGAGTTCAGTTACAAATAGAGACCTCTCTCATCGTTGAAAGTGTTACTAGGGTCTAGGGAATACCAACAACAAATCTTAGAGCACCCACATCGTTGACTATGTAGCAGTTTCTCACAAATAAACATATGAAAAAAATCAAAACAGAGAAGGAGAATTGAGGATCGATTCTCCTTTGAGAAACTTTCATAAGAGTATCATAGATTATACTGACATATATGCATTTATGAATGGTTCACTTTTTTGGAATTAGTAATATGATTTATATTAAAAAAAAAAACAATATTATATTAATGAGAGACTATTTACAAACGGATATGCTCTTATGTAGCCACCATCTCTCCTTCTCGGTTAAATCATACTCTCTCCGGCCTCCGTAGTTTGATATCCTATATACTTTTTAACTTTATTGAATATTGTATGACCAATAGTATTTTGCAGTCATTTTTTTCATTGGTTATTTTATTTTTATTATATATATAAGATGATATTTTTTTGAAAAAAAAAATAGTTTCTTAATATTCGTATTTTTAGCCAAAACAACTTATATTTTGAAACGGAAAGAATATTTTTGATGGCCAGAGAGAGTCATTAAAGCATCCCAATGGGGGATTTTCCTCAACTTTCTACACATT